AATTTTTTTTTTTTTTTTGGGTTGTCAAAGTTTGATCTTGTGATGCTGGTCGTACGATTTTATCAGCTGTTTGAGTGTTGAAACTAAACTGAAATAAAACAAGAGAATACATCAACTGAGGGCAAAGTTAGATCATTTCGCATGGTCCAGAGGCAAACTTGGATCTTTTTCCTTTAAAATAAAACCCTCGTCAAATCACTATGGAGTACGGTCAGAGGTAGGGGCAAATTTAGGACGAAAACAAAAATAAAAAAAAAAGAGCCAATAGGTTAACTAAAGGTATTCACAAGATGAATCAAATGCAATAGAGGCATTTTTAACCTCTCTCATTAAAAAAGAGAAAAGAAAAGGTAAGATACAATTGAGGGAAGAATGAAGAATTAGCTTTGGAAGCTAAGTGTAGTTAAACCTTTCTAACATTCTCGTTATTACGATATTTTTTGACTGCTATACTGAAATACTATTATATGGAACATTTAAAAATTAATAACATTAAAAATTGGTTTAAAAAAAACTTAACCATTAGAGTGAAGTGATATTATAAATGAATATTGTTATAAAAAAATCGGATTACTCAGAATTACCGGAAAGTGAAACCCCTCGATAGAAATGCTGACAAAAACCTGGAAAAGAGTGAAGGCCCTCTCTCATTGTGTCATCAATATTTACTGAAGCTGAGGCATCATTTTCATATTATAGTATGCTAACATTTAATGCCTTTACTACTCAGGCTGGCCTTCACGCCATTCCTCTTTCAGTAGAGTCAATAGCAATATATCAGCCCATAGCATCTATAATATTGGATCCCTACATTTATATATGAATGGTTTTTCACTTTACCCCCTGAGTTTCTGACCTCTACTTAATTAGACAATGATATTTCTCTCATTGTTTTCAAAAATCACTGCCAAGTTTTCTGGCTACATATGTCAGCTTGACTCCTGCATGTCTGTGCTTTTTTTTTCCTTTCCCTTTCATCGCTAGAGTAGCCCCTTATTTTTCGCCCTCAATCCAGACAAATACGCAGAAGTTAAATCATTTTTTCTTAGTTTTTAAATAAGTTTAATTAAGATATAATATCTCCATGTAGGAAAAAGAAAGGTGGGAAAATAATTAAACCATACTTGGACATTGGGTAGCATATTCTTTGTGTTTATGAGCGACTGTCTCATATTCAGCAAAATTACTTTACGAAATTTATTTTTGCTGATCAGTATTTGTATACAATCTTAGGAAAATTTAATTAAGAATTGAAAATATTTATCTTGAACTTAAACCAGGTAATAAGACCATTGATTTATTGCAATTCTTACTCTTTATTATATGCATTAAACTGTATGCCTCAAGTATACTATATGCTTACACGGGTCTTTATATTTGTCCACAATTTATATTTCTATTTTCCTCCACCCATCTCCAACACTATCCCCAACCCCCATCCCGGTGACTTTTTATGGCGAACCCAAGATTTGAATTTTATGGGTCACGAATGCCACCGAATCAATACTTACCAGAGTTTTTGGGTTCTAAATTAAATATTTGTACATATTTAGTAAACTTATTAAAATATTTACTCCATCCGTTCCATTTTATGTGAACCTATTTCCTTTTTGGTCAGTTCCAAAAAAATGACAAATTTCTAAATTTGAAAATAATTTAGCTTAAACTTCAAATTCTACCTTTAATGGGAAGCTATTATAACTATACAAATACTCTGGACCCCTTTTTGACTTGTTTAGGACCACAAATTTCAAAAACTTTTATTTTTTCTTAAACTCCGTGTCCAGTCAAATATGTTCACATAAATTGGAACAGAGGGAGTACAATATATGATCCAAAACTATTGGGTTTAACTGAACTCACAACTTATATTCAGAGGCAGAGCTAACATTTGTAACTTATTTCAGTATTCTAATTCGTTAAGTTACTAGGTTCTAACTTAACAATTTGTACATAATTCAATAAACTTTTAAGATAAATATAAGGCTGGAACAAAGTGACTGAATTATGCCGAACCCGTATCCAAAGGGTTAACTCCGCCCCGCTTATATTGTACATTTGCTCATGAGGGTGTGGTAAGACCTCTAATATTGGTGATGAAGATAGGAACTTCATCAAGGGAATTCAGAAAACTATTCTGTTGCATTAGGGATTCAACAATTAAAATATACATATAAATTTTACCTTATTGATGTATAATCTATGTAAAATATGTGTATAACTATAAAGAAATTTGACCAATTTTGTTAACGAATGTAATTAGTTTTGGCTGACCGACCGATTTTGTATTTTGCCCGATAAAGAATCCACCATGCTGGGCTTTAAGATACTTACCTGCAGCCTTTCACCGCTGGCAGGCCTGACCCAAATTATCGGGCCCAAAGGACCAATTGAAGCCTGTGGAATAATATTATCATTTAATTTGTGTTGGGCTTCTTTGACTTGCAAACATATCTAAAACGTGATTCTGTTTTTATTCCGTCATCTAGAACATCCAATAAAATTAGTGAGCCCTGTCGCTTATGAAAGAATTCTTGAACTTTATTAATACTCTAGAAGGCAAAGCTGCCCACATGAAAAATATGCCTAAACCTTTGCTTTGGTCCACTTCATTTTATGTGTTCCCTTATGTGAACATTACTGGTTTCACATATACAAAATCTGATGCTTATGTTACTATTGTTGTACTTACAACAACATGTACAGTATTACAACAACACAATAGTAACATAATTAATTAGGCTAAGGCTATTTTGCTTTACGTGTTGCCTAATCAATTCATTATGCCATTAATAATGTTATTCTATTTCGCACAAAAAGCAGTATCCAAATATAAGCTTTTGGCTCTTCTTGAACTCTAACACTGTTATGGATAATTATCATCAATGTAGTAATTTTTAATTACAAACTATACATGAGAAGGAAGAGGAATCCTATCTAGATAATAATCAGTCCTATTTAAATTCATTCTAACACTATCTTTGTAAAGTATAAGCTGTGAAATATAGAAAATCCTTAATTATACTTCTCAAACTCTTTAAAACACCTGATGATTTATCAAGTGTTGTCGTAGCCTTTCACACTAATTAATCACTCATATCCTGAATTATGCTCATTCAGTTTGTGATTAATGTTCTCTATGGACTATAGAGATAGTAATTAAAGCATACACACCTATCAGATTACAACGCACGCAACTAAACCCGAAAATTCAATTGCTAGTTAATTAGTTCAAAGGTTCTTATTATTTTGATTTCTATATCTGCAGTGGCCAAAGGCATGCAACAAAGTCAAGATTATGGTTTATGAAATGGCCCTTTAACAGATACTATATACATAATCGTGTACAATCAAATAGGCTAGGATTAATGCTTCAAAAGTTAGATTGATCATTTGCTTTTGTTAAACGCAAAATATATTGGCATAATCGCGTATAATTTTACGCTCAATGCTTTGTTTATCTGAGAGGTCAATCCTCAGTCCAGATTCAGTATGTTAATTCCCCTATTTCATACGCATCTGAGAGTACAACACTTCTCATGCATTTGGGAATGAATCTCAAAAGTTTATAAATTAAAGGACCAGATTCAACGAATTTTGTTCACTATAGTACCTCTTAAACTGTCTAATGTTTTACCCAAAAAAAAAAAAAAAAAATTCCTCTTGACAACATAATGGGCAGCATAGTCAGAGGCAGATCTGAAAGTGGTGGGACACCACTATCGAATAAAATTTAGAGCAAATGCTAGGACGAGAATTAAGCTTAAGTCAAGTTGTGTCCCCTCAAATTAACCAATGCAGTTGCCTAAGCTTTGAGTCTTAGAGTGCCGATCAAAATATATACTTATTATTTAAGATATATATTTCCGAAATTGTCGGGGCCGATGAGGCGACGACCCCTTACCCTAAAGGGTAGGTCCGCCTATGAGCATAGTTGTCATCATACTAGTGTCACTTGCAAATGTAGCCTTAGTGCTTCGAGTTAAATCAAATCTAGTGAGTTTAATACTAAGAATTTTAATGATTAAATTCATCACTTAAAATTGTGGATCATCTTCTAACTATGCATGTTTCATTAAGATTGAAGCCAAAATATTCAATTGTTGTCGTGACTCACATAACTAACGTTTTGCATAACTAACACATAGTGAACATTCCCATGTGATACCAAGACTTTAGGCTTAACTTTTTGCATCACATCCAAAGTTTGTCTACATCTCCGACAAGGTTTTCCTGAAAATTGAAAGTTGTATGCGTGTTCATTTCAATTGTTTGAAATAAATGACTTCTTTCCCCAGCGTAGGATGTCGCAGGCACTTTTATCACGCTCAGCATCAAATGCAATGGAATCAAATCCCATTTGTAATTTGTAGTCATTAGTTAGTGCATTAGAATGACGTGAAATTTTGTTAACAAATATATAGTAGTAGCTTTTTATACGAATCTATAGTAGAAATATAAAAGAAGAAAGAAGATTGATGGGTAGAGAAATGTATTAAATACACCTAAAGTGTATGGAAAACAAAGATTTGAAAAGTTGTAGACTTGCGTCCTTGTTATTCTCATCTTATTTTGACGAGAAAAGTATATTTGAATTTTGATCCAATAACTTAAGAAAAATGAGTCTGGACTACTATATCACCTAAGGACATCTTTAGTTTCCTTATCATAGGATGGCCAGCCGATCCATAATTCCATACTAATAAACAATTGCCTCCGTATTATTTTGACTTTGCAATATGAAATTTTGATAAAGGACTTTGAAATCGTCATTTCCCAAGTGATTATGACTGACTAATAAGTACAACTTAACAAATAGAAAAATTGGGTAGTAAACATAAATTCTTTTGAGATAAGGCAGTCATAATTTCAGGTTTGAATTGGGTAAAAAAACCTCCGTCCAAATCCGGAAAAAATAAAAAATAGCCAGATTTACGACTGATAATTGAATAATAGTCATATTTTTAAAAGTAATCGAATTTTAGCTATTTTTCATGTAAAAATAAAATCTGAACAAAAACACCCTTTATAAATCCTGAAATATTCCAGCATAATATGTTAAAGTTCGAATTTTTTACATATGAGATTCTAGCATAATGTGCTGGAGTTCCAACATAATATGCTGGAAGTTTATACGCAAGAACTCCATAATCCCGCATATTATAATGGAACTTTCCGTATGCTGGATTTTCAATATAATATGTTGGAAGTTTATAGGCCAAATACCTATACGGCCACTTAAACTTGACTGCAGTTTTTATTTTGACACTTTTACTAAGCTCATTACCTATTGAACACTTTAACCCAAATTAAAGTATGCCTATTGAACACAAAAAACTTAGTCCCAAAAAATAAAACAAATGTGTGAAACTCAAACGCGCTTATGTGAAAATATAATCAATGAAAAGATGCCAGATCATTAAAACAAGCCACATCAATAAAAAAAAAAGCCATGTTGTTATTTTTTTGGTTGTAAAAAAGCCGCTGGACCTTACTCGTCACTGTTCATCTTCTCCACTCCCATCGTTGGTCATTCTCTTTCCCCCTCCCCCGTTCTTCTTCTCCTTTCGTTCCTAAGCCCTTCGCTCGTCGGGATTTAATCTAAGATAGTCGGGCAAATCATTTTTGTTTTTGAATTTCTTTGCTGTAACAACAAAAAATTTCAGATCTAGGTTGAAAGAAGATGGCGAAGCTGAAGAAGATGGCGAGAGGAATCTGTAAAAGTTGAAAAATAATGGATAGAATTTGGAGAAAATCAATCATTGATGTATTTATTTTGCCCAAATTTGTTGTTGGAGAAAAAAATATTCTTCTGTCCTTCTTTTGTCACAGTTCAGAAGCTGCAAAATAGAGCAATAATGGAGATGCATACTTACAGAGATGACAATGGTGGAAATAAGGTGGTTATGAGTGGCCTTTAGAAAAAAAGTCAATTTTAGTTTAAACAAAAAAGAAAAGAAAAACATGATTTCAAAACCATCAAAATTTACGCGCCTAAAAGGGGTTGAAATACAGCTCTTTTGCCATGTCAGCTTTTGTGTTCAATAGGCATACTTTGATTTGGGTTAAAGTGTTCAATAGGTAATAAGCTTAATTAAAGTGTTAAAATGGAAACTGGAGCCAAGTTTAAGTGGCCGTATAGGTATTTGGCCAAGTTTATATATAGGAGCTCTATAATCCCGTATATTATGCTGAAACTTTTCGTATTTCAGTAAAACAATGGCTATTTTTCGATTACCAGTCTAAAAAATAGCAAGCCTGTGCTATTTTCACTCCAAACCCATCCAACAAGCGGGTTAAATTGGGCCTGTTTGAGGAGCCTAACCTATTTTGACCGCTTTATCCGAGAATTAAAATCATTTTTCTATAATACTTTTTTGAGAGGTTCGTTGTATAGATATATATGATGTCGTTCTCATCACAGTGTTGTGTTTAATTGAGTGTACTGTAAGCAGAACAAACTTTCTAAATTTGCATATCAAAAGTACAAGATTTTTGGTTGTCATATAAATTTTGTTTCCTTATTCTATAGAACGTGGAGATAGAGGGGTTAAGCCGTGGAGGGGACTGCTAAAGGTCCACTGCTTTCACATTTAGTTGTCAATTTCCGCAGCCTGCTTGAAATAGCACTCGACCCCATGCAATGAGTATCTTAAGTATCACAAATGGACTCTAAATAAGGGGTGTGGCCGGGGAAGCTGTAGTGCTAAGGTCTCAGAGCCCATATACGTGTTAAAAAAATTTATTAAGTAAAATAGGAATATTAGTAATATATTTCGAATCTAGTTGATTAAATGGTTGTAATAGAATCCTGAACTCGAACTCATAATAGTAAAGTTCAAATCTTGAATTCATTTACTTTTAGGACCAATAAAACTTGAATAGTAACATTAATTACCAAAAAACTTCTGAAATGCAAATATATTTTTGTCTTTCTTATATCATCTTGCGCGAAAGTAAACTTAGCGTCGTTATCCAAATATTTGAAAGAGAGAAATAAGGCCATTTTATTGTTTTTATTTATTAGACCTTTGAAAGAGTTTGATGTATTCTTGTATTTGGAATTTAAAAGATGTACAATTAGAACAGTGAGATGGTCATACTTTAAGGTTGACACTTTGACTAAAATAAGGGTTGACACTATTTCATATTTCAACACTACTAGAAAAGAATATCAAGATACCACAAGAACAAAAAAAAAAAAAAAAAAAAAAAAAAAAAAAAAAAAAAAAAAAAAATTAGTCACCGTCCATGACTCCATTCCTTTTGTCTTGGAGGTCCCCCATATATGTATATGAACTCAATCATTCCATATTTCTTTCTCTTAGCTCAGTTTCTGGTCAATCCTACGTACATTGTTTGTTAAAATAGAAATCTATAGACCACGTGAAAAATGTAACCAAAATTTCTTATATATATCCAACGTCCTACTTGTGCTTTAGTAATATTAAACTGAAGCCCCAATTCACTTTGTTACAGTGTGACCTTCATTTTCAGTATTAATATAATATTGCTTCCCCTCATTTTTCATCTCTCGGTTTTAAACCTTAGTAAGATATTGAATAATGGAAGACATTACTTCAACTAATACCCTTCAAAAGCACCTTCAATATATCATTCACAGTAGTCAAGAATGGTGGGTTTATGCCATCTTTTGGCAAGCATCAAAAGACGCTAATGGCCGTCTCATTTTCTCGTGGGGAGATGGCCATTTCCGTGGTACCAAAGACTTGTCTAATTTGGCCAAAGTTGGTACCACTAAGGTAGACAATAACATTAGCGATACCGAGTTGTTCTACATGGTATCAGTGCCTAAATACTTCGTGGCCGATAATGAGCTCATTGTCCGTGCTTATAACCCCACGTCCTATATATGGCTGAACAATTATCACGAACTGCAACTATACAACTACGACAGAGCTAAAGAAGCTCACTTGCATGGAATTCGGACTCTGGTTTGTATTCCTACTCCTAGTGGTGTTGTCGAATTGGGGTCCTCTGAAATTATCCAAGAAAATTGGGATCTAGTCCGACTAAGTAGGTCTCTATTTGGATTAAGCAACAAGAATATTAATACTTCATCACCAATTAATCATCAAGATCTTTCCAGCTTTAATTTCGTTTCGTTGGGAGAAAATCAGAAAGTGGAAAATGATTCACCACAAGCAACGGACGCCAAATTAAGGCAAGAAACAGTAATTGGCAATATATCATTAGGAAATTCAGACAGCTTTGAGAATGAGTCATCGACGATCAACAATATTATTAATCGACCTATAAAACGAGAACGAAAAGCCGGTTCTAGTCGCACAACAGGAACAGAAATGGCCAAGAATCACGTTGAGGCAGAGAGACAGAGAAGGGAAAAGCTGAATAATCGATTCTATGCACTAAGGAGCGTGGTTCCTAACGTGTCTAAAATGGATAGAGCTTCTTTACTGGCTGATGCAGTTACTTATATTAATGAACTCAAGGCCAAAGTTGAAGAATTAGAGTCGAACAAAATCCTGCCTCAGAAACCTAAGGGACAATGTGCTACTAATTCTGTTCAAAGCGTACCTTCCACTGTAGTTAATCGTGCAAATAATTCATTTGAAATGGAAGTGGAAGTCAAGATTATAGGATTAGAAGCGATGGTTCGGGTCCGATCTCCTGATATGAACTACCCGTGTGCGAGGTTGATGAATGTGCTGCGGGAGTTGGAGTTACAGGTTAACCATGCAAGCGTTTCCAGTGTCAAGAACCTAATGCTTCAAGATGTTGTGCTTAGGGTTCCTAATGAAGTGGCTAATGAGGAAGTTCTCAAATCTGTTATTCTCAAAAGATTAAGTGTTGCTAATTAGAATTGATACATTAATGTACTTATAAATATGTCATATCATCAAGTTTCTTTAAGGTTGAGGACCTCGTGTTCCTTGTTGTAAATCTTATTCATGCTATGTTTTTCTCTTTTTCTTTGGTAATTAAGATCATACTAAGTTCAACTAATTAATTAAGTTCCGGACTTTTTAAAGTGTTTGCTGATAAATTTTCTGCTTCTTCTTTAGGTTTGAATGTTCTTTAGATAAAGCAGTACTTATGTTTCAATTTTAGACTTCAAAACGCGAGGTGACAATTTGCATGTACATGACTTGATAATTTTTTTACATATCCATGTTTTGTGCTGCTACTGACCCTTCGTCTTAATTTACTCTTCATTAATTCAGACCGTTAATGTAATCCAGGCAATAACTGGTACATCATATATAAGAGATTGAAAACGTTAGAGTTTGTATACATGTTAGTTAAGATTATACGACAAAGACAATTATATTAGTACTTTACAGTACATAATTGTATGTATTTCATTATCCAAGAACAAGCTGGACAGGGGATAAAAGAACAAGTATGCTGCCACAGTTTTCAGTCACATATGACACCCGACGAATGGCGACGATAGTGTCTTAATACTCTCCCCACTTTTCTGTTTTTTAGAATGTCCTACTAGTTGATAACTACTGTCAATAAAAATTAGTAGAAATCTTAAAAATTGGTCGCGGAGTTGATAATCATTCCTTTCATCAATTATTTCTTAAACATGGTATCTTTTTATCCTTGTTTACCCGAAAAATAGATAGAGTTGAATTTATACGTAGTTCCGAGGATATGTGACGTAACTTAACACAAAATGCAAGGATAAATAAAAAGTGTAGATATAGATTGGGGAGAATGCTAAAATAGATAAGGTTATCAGGAACAATGAATCTCAGGATTCA